GCCACATAGAAAATGAACAAGTAGAATATGTTCTGCCGGTTCTCCTCAAGGAAAGTGGTCAGACTGTCCCACTTGAGTCGGAGCCAGGACTTTTCCCTGTCGATGCTGGGCTCGATGTGGAAGCTGGTCATCCTGGCCACGTTAGTGGAGGTATCAAGGAAGTTCTGCTTGGCCCCCTTACAGTCCAGGCCTATCGCCACGAAGTCGCCGTTGTACTCGCGCATCATATCCTTAAAGTCCTGGTAGGTCAAGTAGTTTTTGTTTTGCAGGCCTGCGTCCTAAAATCCGCAGTTTAGCAATCAGCGCCCCAGAAATTGCAAAAGCTTCCACACCTGGAACATTCCATCTATGAGCTCAGTGACGTGATGATCGGATAAACTGGTGGTTCTAGCGATTTCCACCAGACTTCTCAGCATCTCCGAGAACTCCTCCTTGTCGATGACGCCGTTGCGGTCATTATCGCACATGTCGAAGATTATCCGCAGTTTGTCGTCGGTTTTGCCTCTGGAGAAGAGGACAACAGTGTCCAGGAACTCCTGGAAGGATATCCGGCCGTCCCCGTCCTTGTCCACGATGTTGAACATTTTTGTGACGAAAACGGCGTCGGTTTTCATGCCCAATGCGCTGGCAAATTCGGATTTGGTCAGCGACGTTCTCATCACCGTCACTACCTGGAAAATCGACTCAGATGAGCGTCCAGCTGGGTGCAGCAAGATGTGTTTAGATAAGTTCTATATTGTTGAGGCGGATTCATTTTTTTACAAACTTCTTTTTGGGTATTTCGCCTCAAAAATTTTTGTCTTTAAAAAAGACAGAATTTCCTCACGTCTTTCATTACAGATTGATAAATAGTGCTCCCATTTCGCAATAAGAACGAATTATTTATCAAAAAGTAATCAAGAACTATCACTTAGAGAGTATTCTGCGACACACTTAGGCTCAAGCTGTAAGAGAAAATTCCAATTAGTAGATAAATTAATTTGAAAAATTACCCTGACGTTTCGATAGCTATTTTCTGCTATCGTTATCAAAGAACCTGAATGAACCTAAAAAGGAGTATGTTAATAAATTGTGTGACAATAGTAGGATAATACAGTATATGAAAATTCGCTCTGATAATTCGTCTGTGCAAATTGTCAGTTATGTGACTTTGACTTAATCTCATTG